TGTAAAACAGAACTTTCTGAAGTTCGGTCCATTTACCTGTATTAGCTTACTGGCACATATTCCACATTCAATATGGCGGACGCTGTTACGTATTGCAGCAATGGGCGGCCCGCTCCATGTGGCGTCTACGTATTTATGTTTATGGCTACAACACAGTCTGTGATCATGACAGTCTTCCTGCCAGCAGAGGGCACCACAGAACCAAGAACAGGTGAAAACAGACTAAATCCAGGTGTTGCTTCAGATATTAAAGAACTGTTGGAGTCATGACTAGAAACTGTGACTGGTGGAGATCTTTAAGGTTGGGTCAAACTTTCACAATCCTTGTATTATATTTAAATCTCTTGTTTGTTTTTTTTGTTGTTTTTTTTATACGCTCCCTCACATTCACACATAGGCTGGATTGAACCTGCTGCAGGTGAAACTATTTGCAGCATCTTATAGAGAAAGTCTCCTCCACCAGGGCCCAGATGTGACCTCTGACCCCTCAGTCTTTGTGTCCTGCTCTGCCATCTTTGAACCTGGACTCTGTTCTCTGCAGCATCTGGTCAGACGTTTATACCAGCAGGTTCTCCACCTGATGCTCCTCCTGGATTATTTAAAAGTCTTCCTCTCTGCAGGGCCTTGGCTCCTGGCTCTGCTGACCAGCAGTGTGTCCTCGGCTCTGGTTCCTCTAAACATGCATCAGTCCAGCCTCTGACCAGAAACACTCTGGACTCCTCTGTTCGTCATCATTAGAGGACGATCTTTAAACTCAAGTTTCTGTCAGAATTCCTCCAGAAGGTCGTCCACCACCAATTAATGGAAGATTTGACAGAACAAAATAACTTAGAGGTTATACAATCTGGTTTAAAACATTTGCAGAGAACGGAATCAGTATTTAGAAAAAATATTTTATTTTTTGTACACTGACTTTGTAAAGGTATCAGTGGTTCTTGTATCTCTCTCCCATAGAGGATCCAGATGGTCTTTTAGCCAGTGTTGTGGTACTCGAGGTTGGTCTTGGTCTCGAGACCGGTCTCGAGACCATTTATTGATGGTCTCGGTCTCGTCTCAGACTCGACCGCATTTGGTCTCGGTCTTGTCTCGGTCTCGGACGCTGAGGACTCAGCATTTTATTTCAAGACCAGTCGAGACCGCAACTGTGAAAATATCACTAAACGTACAGCATACTATCCAGTTTATTTGTTAACATCTTTGTTTTCGATGGATGCAAAATGCACCTATTAAAATCCAACCAATAACGTGTTTCTGTTACTCTCCTCCCCTCCCCACCTTTCACTCGCACACAGCTAACTCAACAGCGCTTCGCTTTCACAGACGGTGGGGACAACGTCTAACTTTTTTCGTCACTTAGAAAAGTAGCTCAAAGAAAGGTAAGCTCTGTTGACGTGATGTTAGCAAAGCTAGCTGTACAGAGACACATAAGAATTTGTGATGAAAAAAAGTCACTCACTGCCTGAATTATTGTGTGGAGGTGTTGACTGACTTGTCGCATATATGGGACAACGCTATGTCCAAAAGTCTGCAATATAGTGATGTGACATTCAGGAACAGTACGATTCATCTGCTCGTCTCTTTACTCATTAGATAGGACTGGAGTGTCGCTGAGAGCCGTTGTTCTATCAGATAGCCATACGCTGTCAGACTAGCATACATGCAGTGAGTAGCATGCCCGCGCATGCGCATTAAGAAGTCCGACCATCAGAGGAGTTGTCAGTTCAGCAGAGGCAGCAAGTTATGATGAAAATAAGTCATTAAATTGTTTATAATATGATATAATATGATAACTAGATAGATATACATGCGTTATCATGGTTTCAAAGTGTGGCTGCCATCGGCGGCAGTTATACAGTTTGATTTAATTTCATGATTTTAAGTTGATGTAAAATATTTTATGTTTTTTATAGGTTGTTCAAAGGTTACCAGAGTTGAACCAATGTTAATTTGTTGTTTCATTTAGACACATATTTTTAGTTACATGCCACACTCTGTAGAGGGCAGCATGCTTTATTTTTCTTTGTTGATGGAGAGATTTGATGAGGCACCGAGGCTTGTGTAGCTGGGTTACAAGAAGAAGCTACACGGAGTTTTGTTACTAACCTTTTCAGGTTGAAGCGGCCAATGAGGTACGCATTTTTGTATTTTAGTTTTGTTTGTAAATAGAATGTTTATTTTAAGAATTTGTCGAGTTTGTTAGCCACGTGTTTGACGTAATGAGTCTGTTTTTGTAAGTCAAGCCACTTTATTGTAAATGTTTTACCGTAGTAGCTGTTTATTCTTTATGTGAATGTCTTTCTTTCTGCAAAAATGTATTTTATGTCTTTTGTACAGTTCTCACGGCAAAGTTATTAGATGCCAGCAACTATCGCAGAACGCCTTGTGTCCATTTTCTGTCTGGAGGAAGTTATACAACGTTTATTTAAAGCAGAGTCTAGCTGCAGCTACAGTCAACTACAACACACGCCCATGTAAAACTCATTAACCTACTTATTTAACTGCTAAGTTAGGATGCCATACAGCTGTTAATAACAAAGTGTATGATGATCTACGTCATGATTATATGTTGCTGATTAAGTAAANGAGACCGTTCTCTACTTTACAGAGATCAATACTCCTTCCACCTGCAGAGAGAAGAAGGAAGGAGAGATGAGATCAGATCAGTGAGTGTTTCCAGCCTCTCCAGCAGCAGTCAGTGACGCAGCACATCCAGTAGATGGTTTCCAGGCTGCAGTCAGACTGATCTCAGAGCTGTGACCAACATCAACCTGATCAGCTGTTTCCTGTTGAACTGAGAGAACAAACAGATCTGAGATCATATCTGCTGCTGCCAGAGTTTGATGAATGAGGACCACTGTCTCTAGACATGTTGGACGGCTGGACACTGGAGTCCAGCTGGACTTCCTGCAGACATGGACACAGCAACAACACTCATCTTCACACCAACACAAACACAGGAACACGGCAAGCTGGTGGCTCCACTGATTGGCTGATTGCTGTCTCTGTGTCCAATCAGGAAGCCTGAACCACTGAGAAGCTGCAGCTTTACTGGGAACACTGGAGCTTTGATGGGAACTGGTTTAGTTCAACATGCTGACAGCAGCTGGACTCACTGATAACATTTACTTACTGAACATCCTTTACAAAACGTTTCAGCTGCTGAACATCAGAATCTTCCAGGTCGTTGTAGCTCAGGTCCAGTTCAGTCAGATGTTGGTTGGACTTCAGAGCTGAGGCCAGAGAAGAACAGCTGATCTCTGACAACCTGCATCCGATCAACCTGAATAAAGAATAAAAGATGTGAGCTGAAGCAACAGGATGCAGGTTAAAACTGAAATATGAACAAATTAATAATAAAAATGTAGAAAATTAATTTGACTGAATGTAAAAGAAACATGATGAACTGATGTTTAATATCTGATCCAGTAAAACTGGTTTATAGAGTCCAAACCAGCAGAACCAGAACATGTTATTATGACGTGTTGTTAGAATATTTCAGTCGGGCCTTCAGTGGTTCTGGTCGGGAATTAAAATGGACTTTCAGAACCAAAGTGAGACATTAGAGCTGTTAATGAAGCTGCAGTGATTTAATGAAGCAGCTCATTTCCACAGTGACAGAAACCTGCTATTGAGAGGAACTGACTGATTTATCTGGAGGGTCAACAGCTGCAATAATTACACTTCACTCATTCATAAACACATGAACACATGAGTGGAAACTGAACTGACTGATTTATCTAAGGATCAATAACTCAGTTTGATTATAAATTCCTGCTTCAAACCAAATGTTGACTTTTGTCTGTTTGAATTAAATCAGTTTATTGTTATTTTGCTCTTTTTCCAATTACTTCATTCTGACTGTATGATTATCTTATTATTTTAATCAGGTCTGTTGTATTGATGTTTATCTGCTATTGATGGTTTATTGGTTGATTATTGGATCATGTGATGCTGCTTCATGTCTCCTTTGTCCTGTTTAAAGTCGTCTAGAAATAAAGCTGCTCTGCTATCAGCTTCCCTCCGTCGTCCATCCAGCTCCTTCTGTCAACGTCACAACTTCCTGCTACATCTGTCACAAACTCACAGGATTCCTGCTGCTTCACCTCAGACACTGGAGATGAGAAACAACCCAGGAAAGGAGGGAATACTTTGTTTACCTCACATTTATTCACAGCTTGGAAAATATTTATATATTATTTCAGATAATTTATTAAATTGATGCTGCTGTATTAAAATGTAACTGTTGGGACTTCCGGGTATGAGCGCAAGGTAGAAGGTTGCGTCCGACACCGCTCCTGACAAGAATCCTTAAAAATCCCTTTTAAAGCTACTGAACGCTACAGCAACGGTATCTGTGATTGATTTGGATGAAACTATGCCAGGACCTGGAAGACTGAGCAAAGATAAGTCAAGAATAACTTTGCAATCCAAGCTGACGGACTACGGACCGCAAAACGCGGAGCCTAGCACAAACGAAGCTAGCAAGAAAGTTAGCAAGGAGCCAAACAACGGCAAGGGAGTAGATGGAGAGCTAGCGGCTAACAACGGCGAAATGTATAACTCACTCTGCGACAAAGCAGAAATACTTGGAGCAATTAAAAGCTTAAAGTCCGAACTATCTGAAAGATTTGACGGTGTTATGACAGCTACAGAAGCAGTGAGGAAAGAAGTGGGAGAATGTGTGAAGCGTTTGACACAGGCAGAGGAACGTTTGTCCACGGTGGAAATGTCGATGAGCAAATGTCGCTAATTAACAAAGTTACGAGCTTGGAGGAAACGAAGAAACGACTGGAGGAAAAAATGGTCGACATGGAAATGAGATCTTGCCTCAACAACCTCAGATTGGTGAACCTCCCTGAAGGAGCAGAAGGCTCCGATGCCTGTGAATTTTTGGAAAGCTGGTTACCAGAAGTGTTGGAACTACCTGCCCTGAGAAACCCGTTGATTCTCGAAAGAGCCCACCGGGTCGGCCAGAAAAGAAACCCAGATGCACCTCCAAGAACCGT